ACTGGATTTAAGGAAGCACTTCTTTACACAGCGTGTAGTCAGAGTATGGAATAGTCTTCCTGATAACGTAGTGCAAGCTGAATCCTTGGGTTCCTTTTTTAAATCAGAGCTAGATAAGATTTGAACAACTCTGAGCTATTAGTTAAGTTCTCCCCAAGCGAGCTCGATGGGCCTAATGGCCTCCTCTCGTTTGTATAGTTCTTATGTTCTTAGTGGGAAACCAAAATGTTCCCAAACCGCTTATTGTGACTGACCACATAGCCATAACCAATACACAGCCACAATTAGCATAATGTTTTTTATGTTGAACATCTTCTGAATTTGCTTTCCTCCCGTGTCAGTAAATGTATCCATTTGTTTTATTGTGCATACCAAAATGAAAATGATGTACCGATTGGTACATGACCAGTACATATACCATTAGATCTCTAAAAGACATGGGCTTTTGTCTTATAAAATCACATAAATCACATAAATCACAATCAGCATCTCAGAATTCATTGTGTCAGTGTTGTCAGCAGTTGCATCGTCAATGAAGATAAGCGTGCCAGTACCTGTGGCAGCCATACATGCGCAAGCCATAACACCCCCACCCCCATGTTTAACAGATGAGGTGGTATGCTTTGGATCCGGGGCAGTTCCTTTTCATCTTCACACTTTCCTCTAGCCATCCCTCTGATAATGGTTAATCTTGGTTTTGTCTGTCTGTAAGACCTCTTTCCAGAATTCTGAAGGCTCTTTGAAGTACTTTTTTGCCAATTATTATCTGGTTGTCCTGTTTTAGTGGCTAACTAGCAGTGTACCCTCTGTATTTCTTTTGAAGTCTTCTGCAGAAATTAGTTTCTGAGACACACCTGCCTCCTGAAAACTGTTTCTGATCTGTTGGACAGGCATTTGGGGATTATTCTGTACGATAGTGAGGATTCTTCTGTCATCAGCAGTGGAGGTTTTCCTCGGCCTAGCAGTCCCTTTGCAGATACTGAGCTCACCAGTGCATTGTTTCTTCTTAATGATATTCCAGACAGTTGATTTTAATAATACTAAGGTTTGACTGATATCTATAATGATTTTCTTGTTTTTCAGCATCATAATAACTTCTTTGACTTTCATTCTTCTTCTCATGGTGAACAATGGCAACTTATCCCTCCACTAATGAAGCAATGAATCACACCAAAGTAATTACAAACACCTCTGAAGCCAAATGTCAAAATATTATGGTGCCCTAATATGAGGAGGACTATGTATATCCTCCTGAGACCCGACCTATTCATTTATGTCCATTGTAGTGGACATTGTATTTTTGCATTTATTTTTTCACTGATGTTGGGAAACGTATTTATTCTTGTTGTGCACTAAAGATGACATGCTGTGAAATTAAAATAAGAATAAATTTGAAAAAATCTAAATTGTAAGATGTCTTATTTCCTCCAAAGACAAATAACCTACAATTGAAGGACACTTTTTTCCTTGGGTCTCGGGAGGATAAAAAGTGTTGCAATTTCTACATGGTGAAACCGGAATGTATGCAAATAACTTTATGTTAAAGTCTCGAATGTGCACTTTAATCATGTCTGAATTGTTAGATTCAGATTTTAAACTGTGGAGAAGTAAAATGTGTCTTTGTCCCAAACATTATGGTGGGCACTGTACCTGTGACTGTGTGTATGTGACTTAGTCCCCTTTCTGGCATGGACCACCCAACCATGGCATCAGGTACAGTAGGCGTACAGTCAGTGTCAGACCCTCAAAATGACAGACTCATTTTGCATTTATTCCCAAGGAGCCTTACTTGTAGTGTTAATTTTGGCAAGAATTAAAGTTTTCATCTTAGTCAAAATAATAGTTGGATTAACGTCACATTTTAGTCTTTTTGTTTTGTTTTAGTTAAGATGTAGTCAGTGGAACTCGGGTGTAATTTTAGTCAGTTTTTTTGTCATAATTTTCTCAGACAGGTTCATGATACTGAAATGGATTTTGCTGAAGGATATTTCTCCTGGCTGTATAAATTCCCTTCAGATGTAAGCATACATTATACATAACCATACCCTATGATGCTTAATCATTTAGGCTGTTTTTATGTTACTGACTTACCGTACTTCTTTTATATATAAAAATTATTAACAAAGTTTGTTAGAAAAAGCGCATTTCAGTCATATTTCCTTCACAGGTCTTATTAGGGTCAAACACCCATTTAACTGTGTGCAAAACTGTGCCTTTCCTTCTGTTTACTGGATACAGTTTATCTCTGTTTAGTTTCAGAAAGGCACTTCTCTCCAAGATAAACCTTGCACACTTATTTGTGTGTGTGTGTGTGTGTCTGTTATGTTTATAATACATTGTGGGAACCAAAGCTTGGTAATTTTCAGATTCCTACAAAGATCAGTGAATGCCATCAAAAAACTAAAAATGCCAAATGTCTTGTATTTTGTTTGGTTACTTAGGTAAAGGTTAGAGCTGGGTAGGGGTTTGAGATCTTGATGATGGGATTAGAGTTTTTCCCATAGAAAGGAGAGTCCCCATAAAGATATAATTGCTAACTTGTGTGTGTGTTTGTGTGTATCCCTGAACACTAGGAATAGTTCCTAAAAAAACTGAACTTATTACACCTTTTTGAATTCCTCCCTCAGGTTTTGCCTCACCTTCTGTCTTGCATTCACATTGGCTGTACTTGTCAGCGCACTCATTTCCAGTCGCAGCACCTTTCATACCTACAGGATTTGGCATTGCCGACAGGTCCAGATTTTTAGCCTGCTAGGTTTTCTGACGGGTGTCTGTGACACATTGGCGACTCCATGAGGTCGCGTTGTGAACTTTTGATGCATAGCGATCAAACGCCAATTTGCCAATGTCGATTGCACGCTGATTTACCTCCGATCTGGGGGTTTTGTCTGCATTTTCCAAAAGCTGTCAGCAAGTGGAAAATTGGGGGTAAAATTGTGTAGTGTGAACATAGCATTACTTATATTGGAAGCTGGCATTTGCGCAGACATGCACCAAGCGGGAAAAACAAATCATCCAACGAGAAAGATGCTTGGAGACTGTGAGAACTATTACGTGCACTTGCAGATTTTTATGTGTACATGATTGGTTAAAAAGAATAACAACCAATGCTTTGAGGTGGCTACTGTGATCTAGATTGTCTGCCCAAACAATTTTGTCTCGTCTTTACTCGCTAGAGCAGGGGTCTCCAACTCCGGTCCTGGAGAGCTACTATCCAGTAGGTTTTCTGTCCCACTTGCTTCTGATGAGCCACACCTGCTCCTGGTATTTACCTGAGAAGGTGTGGTTCATCAGAAGCCAGGTAGGATAGAAAACCTACTGGACGGTAGCTCTCCAGGACCGGAGTTGGAGACCCCTGTGCTAGAGCATAACAAACAGAGATTTCCCTGTGATTTTCGTTATCAAGCGTTTTTCATTTACGTTGTTGTTAAAAATTAGTCATGAAATAAAAGATCATCAACGAAAACTTATCGTCAAAATTCTCACTTGCCTGTTTCGGGTTCAGTCCCAGCTAAATGTTCCCCCATGACGTGTGATCTGTGCTGACCTGCTCCCTAAACTCATGTCATATTCTGTTTAATGATAACAAGAACACAACACTGTATCTGGTAACATACAGTATAGTGCTGGTGAGTGGTCACTTTTTGAGGTTGGCAGCAAATATGAGAATGGGGTCTTTCAGTCTTTGGAAGAATAAATGGAATATGTGTTAGATAGGAAAGGGAACTAGGATTGGAATGAAACCTAGCATGTGTGCGTGTAGATAGGGATGTAGATAATGACAGGGGAACCCTGTTCTCCTATGATGACCAAGCTCTTTACTTATAATGCAGCCTTAGCCAAGCTGTGACGTTTCAGATTGTGATTATAATGTGGTGTGGTATTCCTGGCCTGTAGTGTGCTCCCCTTCTCAGCCTCTCTTACCAGCCCTGTTTGATTCCCCCCAGTGCTGTGGTACCAGCCAGCCAGCGGACAGCGGTGGCCTCCACACACAGCATCAGTGGCACCACGCCTCCGGACCGGCTACGCTTCCCACGGGGCACGGCCAGCCGGAGCACCTTCCACGGGGGGCAGCTGCGGGAGCGCCGCACAGCCACCTACAATGGGCCGCCGGCATCGCCCACGCTGTCGCACGATGCCGCACCGCTCTCGCAGTCACGCAGCCGTGGCTCCTCCAACCTCTTCACCAAGCTCACTTCCAAGCTCACCCGCAGGTAGGCCGGTCAGCCGGCCCCACCCACTCGCACCAGCCATTTCTTCCTGTTTTCGTGGGTTTTGGGAGTTTGGTTTTGGCTTTGCTGGTTCTGGTTTCGGTTCCCCTGTAGTCTGAGGTGAAGGTTCCTGCATGAGGGATAACCTGTGCTGACCTGAGCTCTCTGCTTCTGATGGTGTCCAACAGATTATCATCAAACAGAACCATTTATTGGGGGGCTGCTTTCTGTGTTAAAAGTACTCACCTCTGGCACACCCTGCTGGACCCCCTGCTGGCACTGCTTTCCGTCACGTCCCCAACTGACAGTTATTTCCTGATCGACTGCGCTGGGCTGCAGCCAGCAGGTCAGCACAGACCATGTGAGCAATCCGGGTGCAGCCGCTGCCCCTTGTCCACACTGGGCTCTGAGTTCCAGTGCTGCTGTTCCACACACACAGTCCAGTCTGTCTGCACATGCAAGGGAGTCTTCCATGTGCTCGCATTATAAGCTGAGTGGGAATTACTTTTGTAAACTTGATGCAGATCATCTGTCTATCTACCTACCAATGTACCTACCTACGTACAGTGGATATAAAAAGTGTTTTTGTGATGTAAAAAATAGACCACGATAAATAATTTCAGGGCTTTTCCCACATTTAATGTGACCTATAATCTGTTCAATTCTTTGAAAAAACAAATCTGTTAGGGGGACAAATATAAAAAATTAAAAATGTCCGATAAGCTGGTTTTATAAGTGTGTACACCATTAAACCAATACTTTGTTGAAGCACCATTTGATCTAATTACAGCACTCAGTCTTTTAGGACAGGAGTCTACTCTTGACTTGCTAATATTTGCCCACTCTTCCTTGCAAAAGCGCTTCCAAATCAGTCAGATTGCAAGGGCAGCTCTTGTGCACAGTCCTCTTCAGGTCACCCCACAGATTTTCAATTGGATTTAGGTCTGGGCTCTGGCTGGGTCATTCCAAAGCTTTAATTTTCTTTTAACAAAGCCATTCTTTTGTTGATGTGGATGTATGCTTGGGGTCATTGTTGTGCCGAAAGGTGAAATTCCTCTTTCAAGCAGGCTTCGGGCCAAAACTGGCTGGTATTTGGAACTGTTCATAATTTGCTTCACCTTGACTAAAGCCTCAGTTCCATCTGGGGTGAAAAAAATCTAAATTTCCAATAGTGTGGAAAAGTTGTCACTGGACCTCGTTATTAAACGTGCAAAATATCTTTGAAATAGGTTAATATTTTCAGGTTCCACAAAGCGATCAAAGTTTTCACCTGTCACATCAATGGGCAATATACACTATCCATTATCTATACTCATTGGTGTTGTGTTTGTGCACTTTCACAACATGATAATCCGTACAAAATACCAACGTTCAGGTAACGCAGATTTTTACTAGGTATCAGCCATACACATACATTACATCGCTCTGCAGTTCTACGCGCATTACGATTAATTGTCACTTCAATGCACAGATCAACGCTACGTATCATCCATATCATAACGCAATGTAAAATTGTTCCTCAGTTATACCAAAATGAAAAGTATTAAGCATGACAGTCAAAATGGTTAGATACACTATATTACCAAAAATATTGGGGCACCTGCATTCAATGATTTGGAGGGGTGTCCCAATATTTTTGGTAAGACCCAGATGGATATAGCGGTATAGATAATGTATATTGCCAGTATGTCAGTGTAAACATTCTCC